ATATCATGTTATATATATATATATATATATATATATATATATATGAAACATTAAATCCTTACTAAATGAATCAAACTTTAATCAAAATCACATGAATCATTACACTCCTGGTAGTGGCAAGTCTAACATGTCTACTGCATGTGCCAGAATTGGAAAATAGCTCACCTAAGAAGAGGCACAAAGCTGTCTTCTTTCTATATCTGTGTCCTGTTTGTTTTGTTCATTATGGGTCATTGCATTGAAGATTGAAAGACGTGATGTGCTGGTGCAGTTTGTTTTCTCAGTCTGTCTCTGTGACCTACAAAAAATGAAAGGGTTGTGCGGTTTATATTTGCTGCAGAAACTGAAAGTGTTTGAAAATATTGCTCTACATTAACCAAACCTGAAACATCTCTTCTTAACTTCTGCAACCTGTGGGTTGGAACTCCTTCATATACAAACAATGGTGAGAGGTTTCTTACCATTTCTAAGACAATGAAATACAAAATACATCCAAATAATTTATTAACAGAAAAAGTATGACATGTAGTATTTCTGTATGTTCCTATACTAGACAAATACAATAAAACATACTCAAATTTAGTGATGAAACACTGGTGGTTTAATCTGGATTTGTCAATGGTCAGAAACAGTGACAGTTCTGATACTGAATACAACAATCTCAACTGCTCCTAAATAGTTAGGATGGCTCAAAGGCCTACAATGATTTAGCCCATGGTGATCAATAAAGTGTCATTGAACGGTTTAAAGATGTCACTTTGTGTTCTGTGATGAGCATTTGTTTTACCGCATTGATTTCAGGTAGATACAGATATTGATATTTGAGAGAAAATAAATAAAATCAGACAATTATTGTGTGTCAACCAAGATGCATTTTATGCACAAATGTACACATGAAGCACACAGAGTGGTTGAGGTCATAACATGACTCCTATGTATAGGCTTTTGTCCTCCAACAGGAACATTTCCCTTATTCCAGCTGTTTTCAGCCTTCATACACAACATATTTAGCTACATCTCACTTCAAAATAAATATAAATGACAGTCAGAGAAAACTCCTATTATGCAGCCATTGTTAAAATTCTCAAACTTTATTTTAAATCTGAGTATCCCAACTTAATTCAAACACTGTATACAATTATGCACATTTCTATTTTAACTAACAATAAGCCATGAAAAAAACACAGATTCTTTGCTTTAATGCCAGCTATAAAACTGGATGTTGAGTGATTCAAATCAAATACAACAGGGGTTCTATTTTTGAGCTAACAACACATTTCTGTATTTCATAATATTTTTCCAGCTGTCTTTATTCAGTGTCCTCTTGTCTTATACAGATGGAGAATGGCTGCATCCTGAACAGCACTTACCCTGGGGGCTGTGCACTGCCCAATAGGAATGGAACAGCGCCCCCTGCTGTCCAGATGCCCGACCCAGAGACTTTGCCCAGCCTCCCCGACCCGCCAGCCACTGGCTTCTACCTCTGACCGGCTGACCAGGAACAGCAGGACACTGTTAATGGCCAGAAACACACAATGACTGGACCAGCCTTATACATCTAGACAACACAACAAACAAAGCTGAAGAAACGTAGGCCTATATGTTTCTTTCTTTGGCTTCAAATTTGTAACTTTTTTTGAGGGGGGAGGGGATCATTGTGTTGTATTTTAAGTCATATTATCATACGAGTCCTTTGTTTACAATAATGCAGTGAAGAGTGCTCAGTTGAGTTTAAGTGTTACAGAGAGGTAAATGTGAGTCTTTAAAGCTGAGTTTTACAGATCCGCGTTCAGATACAACACAACGCACAATTTACATTCAGAGGCAAAAGATTATGGATAGTTTAGCACCAATTATTTAATATTTAAATCTAAGAAAAACTACACTAATACACCCATTTCATGTAGGATATTCTTAAAGTGAAAAGTGAAAGAGCAAGACAACATAGGTGATAGATGTCCTAAAGATTTTAGATTTACTGAGTTAATATTGGGTGTCACTGGTGGGTAAATGAATAATATTTCACCAGTGGAAGATTATTAGCCATTATCACTGGTAGTAGATGAAGGGATTACTTGATCAACAAAAACTAGCATTGTTCATAATTTGACATTTTATTTAAGAAACAATTAAAGCTGCAGTAAGTAATTTTTATCAATATTAATGTTTTTATTATTTGCCTAAATTTCACTATATGTTGACGGTAGTAGACGGATAATCTGTCAAAAAAAATCAGGCTCCTCTGGCTCCAATAGGGTACCTGTCTCTGCTCTGATTGGTTGTTTTCATTCAGGCCCGGTGGATTTTTGCATATGCCATTAGGAGCACTAGGAGGAGCCAGAGGAACCTGATTTTTTTCACAGTTATCTTGTCTCGTTATACTGTCAGGATGTAGTAAAGTTTTCAAGAAATACGACTATACTTTTTTATAAAGGTTACCTTCTGCAGCTTTAATCAAGAAAATAACCAGCAGTAATTGGTAGTTGCAACCCGAAACTGTAAGATCCAAAAACAGGCAAACAGCAGGAGATGAACTGAGGAGAAGAGAGGTTGTTGTATGTTTCCACTTCATGAATGTACAGAGGGACAGGAATATCTGACCAAGCATCAAATGCACTTCTTTGTCATGTGACTTTATTTTTTCATCCGAACACGAACAAGTCACAATTCGGTTTTAAGGTTTGGTCCTTTGACTCGCTTTTATCTAAACACACACAACACACACACACACACACACACACACACACACACACACACACACACACACACTATCCCCGTCAGTACAACTCCAACGTGATGACAGGTTTTTGGCACTGGCAGTCGACAGGACATCCGCATCGCTCATAGTTTTGCTACAAGAATGTAATCTTTCAGTGTTCAGTGATTTCTTTGTTGAACGGTTTTACTTGTCAACAATGAGATTAATCCATTATGTGTATGAAAAAAAAGTATAGAATATGGAATTTATGGCTAGAAATATCCTGCACTTTATTTCAAGCAACCCACTAAATGCAGATCTGTAGTCAGGGATACTGGGGTTATAAAACCGACAGACCCTGTTTTGTTTTTGTTTTTTCGTCTTTGAAGTTTCGGATGCAACATGAACCCGTTTGCATTCTTATTTTGAGGTACATTTCAGGTGATGGGTTTTAATGTCCTCACAAGCACAAACACTCGTGTACAATTGTTAGTGTCATCATTTTTATCTTCCTCCACTTGAATTCTTTTTGTTGTTGTTGATGTTGATCATTTTGGAACTCTGGATGAGTTCTCTTTCTTTTATTTTGGTCATTGTTAAAAGTTTGACTTGACTAGAAGAAGTTGATTTTTCATTTTCCTGTATTTATTCATGTCCTGCAGCAAGTAAGCATTCTTGATTGTTTTAAAGTTGATGTGTAAGACATTCTCTTGTACAAAAAAAAGAAAAGAAAATGTAATGCTTTGTCATCCTCTAGCTGAGCAGTGGTTGCACTCGCTCCCCCGACAGAAGAATCATTCCTCAGTGAATCCAGATCCAGGACAGTACAATCAAAGCTTTTAGAGTTTTTAAAAGGAAAAGTCTAATATGTTGGGAAATCCTCTTGTTTGCCTCCTCGCCCAGAGGACTGAAGATCGATAGAAAAACATGCTGGATAAACAGATATGAAATCATATCGATCTTGTCGTAGTTGGAAAACAAACATCCCCAAAATGTGAGTGCTTTTCCTTGTAAATGCCAGAAAACTTGGTGATATTATCAGGTCAGTCATTTCAGGTCTACACAGGATCTTGAAGCAGTTACAGAATGGCAAACACTGAAAACCAAATGTGAGTATTAAAAAGAGATATTTACCGGAAGGATACAGTTGTGAATGTTTCTTGTACATAGCAAAATGACTGGAAAAAACGATGCAGAGGAGAATTATTTCATCAAGAAGAGATGCTGAAAAGAGATTTCCATTTTAATTGTTCGAATAATGTCATTACTATTGGTATTAATATTATTGTTATATGTTTTATGTTGAAAATGTGATACACACGTGGTTACATGTCATTCGAATTGACTCGTTTTTCTCCCCGTTCTTTTTACTGCAGCAGACATGTTTGCTATATTTAATATGATTGATGTGTCTTATTAACAATGTGAAAAAAAGATGTGTATATAAAAGGCAAACAAGCTTTGACAAATACAGGTATGTACATAGTTTTGCGTCAAGTCACTCGTTTCAAGCACTATTTTTAAAAACACATGCTTATCAAACTCCTTTGTTGATTCATTTTTTGTTTGTTTTTTTAAATTGTAAATAGTACTCTCATCACGGAACACTGGACTCTATGACAGGCTGAAAATGGTGCCATACTACTGAGACTTGTTAAATAGGCTATAATGTTTGAGAGTTTAATTTCGTCTTCTGTTTAGCCACAGTAACGTTAACATGCTAACAGGACAAAGGTGTAGATGTTTGACCCGTGTCCTTTGACTGCTTGTTTCAAATGTATTATTTTCTTCCTTTAAATAAAGGATTTCTTCAATCACAGTGAAAAACACAAACATGCTGCAAGCATATAACTGACCACTCATGCGTCTCTCTCTCTCTGAGCCCTCTGGTTTTGTATTCACTTGGACAATAAAGAGCAGGGGTTGTCAACCTGTGTCAGTGACCCCTTACTGTGGGCCCCTGACATGTAAAAAAGGTGCTATGTGTAGCATTTTAACATCAAATAAATCCTTACCACATTAACTCTGGGAAGTCTGCATAATTACTGTAAAGCTGTCATGGCATATAAGTGGCAGTCCACTCAACACAGAGGATCACAGACAGTGCAGTCCTTTAACAGTGTTTCTCAAATGGGATGCAGTTCAATGCCGTCTTAGTGTTATTGCATGATGACAAAACATTGGTTTGCCATGAATTTAGTGATGATTCCAAACATTTGAAATTAAGCATTTAATTGATGCTGATGCACAGCACTGATTTGTACATTAATGAAAGTGCCCTCCACTGGTTCCCAACCTGGGGGTCCCGACCACCACCAGGGTTCACCAAAGCTTGATTTCAAAAAAGGTGTGAGAAAATATTTTTTTAAATATATTAATATACAGGCCTATCTCAGAATTTCATGAATTTTTATGAACAAACAAATTTACATTTTTAAAGTTTAGACATAAAACAAAATCTCACACACAAGGTATATTCACAGAGCCTTCACTCTCTGATAAACAAATGTACAGTTAAAGACAAAGAGCTAACGGAGCAATGAGTAGAAGACACTGAAAACAAAGACTGTTATGTATGTATGTATTGTAACAAAAAATGTTAAAGTTTAAGTTTAACAAAACAAATTTAGTGAAGACAGTGACCTTGAAACTATGAGTTTTCATTAGGGGTTTCAATGAAAATCCAGTCCAATCCAATCCACTTTATTTAT